CACCGATTCTTCAATTGTGGAAATTCTATAAACCGCTAAATCGCCCGAGCTCGATATCAATGCTAAATGTTTACGAAGTCATGATAAGTACATTTTCATTCCGCATGCTACTGCGCGCATTACGCGACAATCTTCAGCAAAATTGGACAACCTTTGAAATTCATGTGACACATCTTCCAAAACATCTTACTGTTAGTTTCTCAGCCACGTGACCTAATATTCTGCAAGTTGTCCAGTTTCACTAAGCCCACCATGTGATGCGCGCGGTTGCGTGCGGAGCTAAACTGGTGAGACAGAATTAGTGATTCACCGCATTTATCAATACAATGGGTGTGAGCGCGGGCAAGTAAGGAATCAGAAACTTACAAATTCACGCATGCAAAAAAAGCTGCTCCAATCGCGCGTTCTTCCATACCGTAGTTGTTTTCGCTGCGGGTGCGCCAGCCTGCCGCGCGATGTCGCGTTGCGAAGAGCGAAAAAGTCGCGTTCTGTCCTAAGTACCCACACCCCGTCGAGTCTAGACTAAACACCACAAGCGACGACGACCTTCAAGTAAAAGTGGTAGGTAGTGCCATAGTGATAGCAGATATTAACCACTCAATGGTGAATGATACTTCCAACAAGTGACAATTTTGATCAATACAAGTACGACTATCTAAATTTCAATGGCAAAAAAAATTTACATTTGGAGGCCGTCTTCCCTTGTATTGTGTAGTCCGCACTCGAGCATCTGGTTTTCGGGTAACGCGGTGCACAACAGGGGGCAAAAAAGTGTCACTTCGCCCATGGCGCTATTCACAAGAGCGACGACATGCTTCAGTAAGCTAAGAACAGATTTTGCTTCAAAGCAAAGGACCGCAAGATACCTCCGACTGATAAGTAGTAGCACTACAACCGAAAAAAATATGCAAACCAACTGCATTTGACAGTGAAAATCCAAGGACCTAGAAAGCTTAGCAGACTTTACGGGCTATTGTCCAACTCATCTGTTTTCCCACTGCATGAAGATATTTGAGCGAATTCTAGATCGCCGTACTCGTGAAGTCTTGAACCAGTGGGGTTTTCAAGCCACTGTGGTACCATTAATGCAATACATGCCGCTCGTCTACTGCTAGAAAAAGGCGTAAAACGGAAGCCTTTCCATTTGCCTTCCTAGACTGGAGACAACGTGGCATTCTTGAAGCACTTATTGAGTGGGTTAACTCGAGCCCAAGAAGCTAAGTGCAATTGATAGCAGACACCTCAATGCAATTCCCCATCTCTATTGGGCTGCGAAAAACCAAAAGGTCCTTCCAAGTTGCCACTATCCGCTTTGAAAAAGGAATGAATTCGTTCAAGGAATGAGCTGACCGCGTCGTGTTGACAGACGAGTTCGGGTGTCCCCCAACAGGCCCACCGCGCGGCGAAGCGAAGAGACGCAGATGCGGCAAAGGACGAGTCGCAGCGCGTGCTGTGCGATATGAGACGTAGTATGGTACACTCTATTTAACCTGACGCCTAACCGCTACAGTATGCGCTGCGACTCGTCCTTTGCCGCGTCTGCGTCTCTTCTTCGCCGCGCGGTGGGCCTGTTGGGGGACACCCGACGAGTTTGAGTGCGTTTAACGCATTATGAAGCGGCTCCTTGAAGCCATTAACGTCTCTATGATGCCAGCCGCAGATGCTCGTCTTCACCACTCTTCGTGCAGCATAAACAAGTGGATCTATTAATTTGGGAGGTCAGGTTGGTCACTTTCCAAACGCAAAAATCTCTTAGCAATTTAGCTGGCAATAAGTTTGCACAAATTCCTTGTGTGCCGGGTTCTACAAAAACGTTTTGTAAGGTTGTTATTTCTTTCCTTGGTTTGAGGAATTTTTTGAGCAAGAGAAAATCCTTCTATTTTATAAAGCGCTAACTTTGTGTGTCGGTTTGTATGTCTGTATGTGTGTGTATGTATGTATGTGTGTCCGTCCGCAAAATGAAGTGGTAGGGAAACTCGTGAAGTAAACAGACCGTTAACAAAATCGAGTACTATGACTTTAGCAATCAATGTTTTGCAGTGCTATCAATGTGATAACACCCCAACGGCTATATAAACACCTACTGAGCATGGTCTCATTCATTCCACATGATGCTGCAATAGCAGCTGGAGAGCAGTAGAGGGAATAGGATAAGATGGAGAAGGGCGAGGGGAGCTAACCGCCAAAAGACCTGAGGTCCAATTAATATCATTCTAAGGTCATGTCACGATTACGGTAATGCCTTCTACTATATAAGACACTTTTTTGTGCATGCGTGCCACCTCCACGAGGTGTCCATGTCACCAGTGGATGGGAGCACATTGGAAGGAGTAAAGCTTACGCAGGTAAGGAGGTCCCGGTGGTTGCCGGGGGACCAATCTGGTTCGAGATAACCTATTCTTTTCTATTTTATGTTTTGTGAAGTAAATGAGTGTCGCGGTTTTCGGTGTGATCACCGCAAAATCCCTCGCTCTTTTTAACCCTTTCCGGACCGCCTGACACCCATGGGGTGTCAGGGATTTCAAGAGCTGATTTTTCCGAGGATTCGGTTTTTCGACAAAATGTTTTATGTTGTTACATATCTATGTAACATACTCATGCCGTATGTATGAAAAAACCTAGACTACAATCTCAAATAGTTCCTAAAATAACCAAAAACTAAATGGACTTCCACTTCGAGCTCAAAGAAAACAGTTATAACTCATTTGAAAACAATTCATACAAAAGAATTCATGACATCTCGTGCACGTCGTAGCTGATGCTATTGAATCTAAACTTTCGGACACTTTCTAGTCCCTTTTTCCCAATTATTTTGAACAATTTTCACTCCTGCCTCCCTTTGTGTGGCCCTATCACTTTTATTACAGGACGGCTTTCTGTCATATTTACCACAGATATACTTTAAGACATGAAAAAGACAAAACGAGACATAATATTGATTTTAGTGGGAATACAGATTAAATATATGATGTTTATGCTCGCTGAGTAGCGCGCGACGGTGAGCATAAAAAGGCGCCGGCCACACGCGCCCGCCACGTGAAAAGTGCGCGGTCCGGAAAGGGTTAAACTCAACAATGTTTGAAATATTGAGCTTCAGCTAGTTTAAATGCAGTTTTTATGCTCTATCATTCATGACTAACTCGACTCTGAATTCTCCTCCATCAGTGAAAAGGTTGGCAATACTGAATTGAGACAACGCCTCCGTCCAGCTCCATTTCCTTTTCAGTTTACTCGCCCCATTGGAGAGCTGAGCTTTTCCACGCTCACGCGTTTGGCCACGGGGATGTCATCTGACGATTACCGCAAAGAAGTGAACCTGACCGCTAACAATTAGCACAAACGACGCATTGAAATTGTTAGAGTCCATCGCTTCTTCGCGCCTTTTTTCTCAACATTGTTCCTGATAACAAAAGAAGCTTTTCTTCCACATCCAATCCAATGTTTCGTGGTATCTGTCGACTGTTCGTCGCAATGGTGGTAGTTGTTGGTTTCCTGAATATCCTGACTCGCTTAGCAATGTACAATAACACCACCAGACACCTTGACAAGCAAGCGAGTCGTTATTTTATGAAGAGCTAAAGGCTTGAGCAATTCTGAAGAAAAAGATTTTGAGTGGGAAATTGAAGAATGAACTTCGTCCTAGTAGAACCAAGTGTACAAAAGCCACACTCAAAACTTCATCCGTTCAATTTTAAAATTCTATGCAGTACGCTATGCTACCGTAATTTCTGGCCAACCTGAAGATGGCACAGAGCTATCACCTACGACCACGATCAAGTATCATGGATCGGCAATTGCTTTGAATGGTGGTATGAGTACTGAGGTGAGTTCACGCGTGAGTGCTGCATGGTCCAAGTGGCGTTCTATGACGGGTGTTCTCTGCGACAAAAAACTTCCAGAACGCCTGAAATCGAAGATCTATAGGACCGTCATAAGACTAATGGCAAAGTACGGCGCTCCCGGTGGGCCCACGGCTAAAGCAACAGAAGCTCACTTCGGTGTAGGCCGATGTCAGACTTTGCGAATCGCGCGATTCGCTAGCGTCTGCGGTCGCGTCGCGGCCAGTGAATCACTCAATTGGCTGGTACCGCAACGCGACCGCGGACGCTAGCGAATCGCGCGATCGCTAGTAGCGAATCGCGCGATTCGCAAAGTCTGACATCGGCCTATGGAGGCGAAAATGCTGCGCTGGACGGCTGGTGTCGCGCGTTTAGATCGTATTCGTAATGATACCATACGAGATCGCTTTGGTGTAGCTCCTATTGCTGATAAATGCGCGAAGCTCGACTTCGATGGTATGGTCACGTGCTTCGTGGAAACGATGACAGTGTGCGTAAGATGGGCCTAACACACGTGCCCGGATAGCAGCCTAAGAGATGCCCAAAGCAGCGGTTGTTTGTTACGTTGCATGAGGACCTCAATTAAGCTAGTTAGTCGCGCCTTGCATAACGAAAGGATTCTACTATATGAAATCGGCCAAGTGTGTGTTAAGTATGCATGTGTGCGAGTGTGTGTGAGCGTGTGTGTGTGTGTGTGTGTGGTGTGCAAATATGAATATCATGGCGCGCCTACCGGCCGTCGCCAGAAGTTGATTCATGATAAGATATAGGGAGTGGGACGGGAACTTATTTGATGGGGACGAGGTGATAACAGCTGATAGACGTTGGTAAGAAGCGTAGAAGAAAATGTCACGACATTGACAGCGCAAAGCCCAGCAGCATTGAAGCAGCTTCGCAGAGGCGATAGGAGGTGGACGGGAACATAAATATTTATGAGGACCGGTCAATGATAACAGCTGGTATCTAGACAGCTGAAAACGGTGATAAGATAGAATATTACGAAGATAGATTTTTACGCCATATTGGCTTGATCCTCGAGCACTATCACTGGGCGTGTAAACACTCGAATGTCCATGAAATTTCGTTCGTATTCATTTAGAACGTGCACAGTCGTTCTCACATAACGATTACAATTGCAGCAAGGAACCTATCTCTTTATAGATCTCGCCAAAGCATCCACTCGATGTAAATACGAACAGTGCTGATGATGATGACTATAATGAAATGCTTTGGATTGGAGGGAGGCAAGCTGGCTATCTGGGCTGGACGTGGTCTGACGAGCGACCCTTTTCTTACACTAATTGGGACCATGGAGAGCCAAATAATAAAGGTGGAAATGAGCAATGTTTGCAGGTGCCTGCTTTGATTTGATTCATGATTTTTGTCAAACATTTTGAGGCATTGTTCTAATTTTTAGTATGACATGTTACGCAATCAGGTGCTGTACTTCCGGTCTATGCGTGACTCGTCACCCGGTACTGCATCCATACCCTGGGTAAGACGAGGTACAGAGTCTGGTCCATTTGGTAATCCCATTCGAATATGGAAGTAGGGATGGGATGTGGACCACAGGTGGACAAAAGAGAATTTCATAACATGGCTCAAACCAAAGTCAGAGCCTCATGGTTTTGCCCCACCTGTTACACTCTTATGATCCTACTATACAGGGGGGGGGGCAATAAAAAAAAGACATTTTGTCTCCACTTCCAGATGGATTTAAGCACATTTTGCTCAATTCAGACCGAATGGTTCCAACTTATTATTGAAGAGCGCATTTCATTCTATAAGAAAATCTTCATAGTGGCCACCTACGTGGACGGCATCAGAAGAATTTGCCCTGGAAACATGGTGCACTGGTCGAGCTCAATGGGGTCTTCGAAGGATCGTGTACCATAACGACCTTACTGGAAAGCGAAATTACGCCATTCCAGACAAGTGGAGAGTTTGCACTCATGTATGATATGTGGGGTGAGGCGGGGACCAAGAAGTTGAGTGAACGAATGTGGTAGCAACTGATAAGAACTGATAAGGGGCGTCAAAGTGTGGATACCACCAGTTTCGTTGCGGCCCTTGCGGTTACATTGGAACCTTGGCTCTCACATGTGGTATAGGGGATGGGACGGGAACACGATAGCGGATGATCAGAAGTGATAACAAGCAAGTGATACCTGTTGATGAGGAAGTTAGGATTTTGAGTACTGCTAATTTCGTTGCAGCCTTCGTGGTGACAGTAAATATTAGCTCCTACACGTTGCGTGGAGGTTGGGACCGGGACACCGATTGCGAACAGTATGAACTGATAAGAAATGACAAGGAATGATAAGAGCGTTGAATGCAGGTCTCTACAACTTTGTTTATTCACTGGCAAGCGATCAAGGTGGCGAGGGTTGAATGTAGGTGACAGAAAAGTGGTATGAGCGGCAACTGTACTAATAAAAGTAGCGACAGTTGAGCGTGCACTCAATTGAATTAAACCAGGTCCCTAGCAGGTGAATATATTCCATTCCTACCCTTTCATCTAGAGAAGCCAAGAAAGTTGACCTGCTCAACTTGAACGATTAGTGAATTTCCATTATTTTTCCGATTTCCGTCGTAGCTAGGTTAGATGCTGATGGCAGGTTGATCTACTATATATAATTCGCTAAAGTATGTCTGTGTGTGTGCGTCTGTTTGTCACGAAATTCGTAGCTCGGTCACAGCAACGATAGCGCCATGGTTCTTACATATGTTATAGGGGGTGGGATGGGGACACAAGTGGTACGTGATAGGAACTGATAACGACTGATAATAGCTGATAAGAGGGGCTAGAAAGCGAGCATCGCCAATTTCGTTTTGTCGTTCATATTGGTACTAGAGCGTCTATACTTACAAGTGTTATGTGGGTGGTCCCGGGACATTGGTGGTACATGAATGAAAGCGATAGCAATTGATAAGGGCTGATAAGATGCGTTAGAACGCAAAAGTCGTCGATTTCGTTACCCAGCTCGCGTTGGTACCAGAGCATACATACTTACAAGTGTTATGTGGGATGGGACGGAGACATTGTTGCTGGGTGATTGAAAGTGATAACAACTGATAAAGGCTGATAAGGCGCGTCAGAACGCAAAAATCGTCGATTCCGTTACGTAGCTTGAGTTGACACTAGAACGTCCCTACTTACAAGTGTTATAAGGGGTGGGATGGGAACATTGTTGGTTGGTGATAGAAAGTGGTTAC